TAGACGAAGGTGGCCGCATAGCAGTCAGTCGCAGCAATTTTGCACTCTGTTCTGACTCCGCCGAGTCATCCCCGTATCTTAACTCTGTTGTCAAATTTGGCATGCCAAGATCATGATGACCCCGCGACGGTATACAAACATGCTCCGAGTGGACGCTGCCGAAGTACGAGTACTTCCATTTTTCAATGATTGAAGTTGAAACTAAGTGATGCTGTGGTAATCAGCCATGGTGAAGCCTTCGAGCAAGTGCAGTGAAAAGAGACCAGATCTGATGGGCACTAATGATTAGATGATATTTATAGGGTTGCATGGATATTTTGTTGATGGTCAGCTACTTCATTTTTGGAACACTCCGCTTATCAGAACTCTGCAACGGACTCTTCTGGACTTATAAGGAATATTACATAGCGACATGGTGTTACAACCAGACTTATGTGTCAGCCATACTACGATGTTTCGGCGTTCTAGTTATCTCATTTCAACGATATATTTCACTTTGTCAACACGGTCAACAAGTTGAGCAAGTGAGAAGCTTGAGAACCTCCTCGAATATAAGCTCCGTGTTGAACTGCCTTTTCAGATCATCAACACTTCACATCGATGGATTCTTCCTATTCTCCAATGGGCAGTGCCCACAGTATATTCAGTACCACTTCTTGTCTTCAGCAATGCCACTTTTAAAAGTTCAGAAAACATGGAGGTGCTGATTGAACGGCAGTCCATAACGGTAAGAAATATGACAATGCTTCTCATCTTTTATGAAATCTTCATGTTTCAGCTAGCTACATCGATGACAGCTACTTTCGTTCTCGTCACATTCATGCTCTGTAGCATGTGCTATGGGACGATACTGAGATTTCTGATCAAAAATCGGTTCAGTAATAGCGGGTCAGTCTATAAGAGCCTCACTCCCCATGTATCACACTGAGCACACTATTTGAGGGCCTTGAAACGGGAGCGGAGGCTATATGTGCAGATGCTGGGACTGTTTGTCGGTTTCGTCCTTCTTGTCGTCTTCTACATCCTGCAGTTTACATTCTCACTTCATTCCAATGTAGGTGACTTAGTAATATGATGCGCAAACTAGTAATTGTGCAGTTTCAGTCAGGGCACGTTGTTCATTGGGGATCTTCAGCAAGGTGGGTCGTACTTGCCTTTGTGGAAGATGTTCCCGGTTGTTAACTTTTCTTGTTTTCTGCTGTTGCAAGGTGCTAAATATCCTCTATCTCCTGAAAAAAGGAGATTTTTCCAAGGAAAAAATTCCAGAAGAGTTATGGGATGGAGGATGGGATTGGAAGTGGGTTGTACCACAGCAAACTGTAGAATGGAGAGTGCGGAGGGGGGTGGAAGGAGGGAGGGGTCCCATTTTACGAATTTTTTCCCTCAGCGGCAGGAACGCCCTGATTTCGACCCTATCTATCCAGGCTCGATACGCAGTGTTTTTGTGGCATGAAAGAAAAATGTGTAAGAGAAGATTTGGAGTGGCCACAGTGATTTGAAAAACGATAAAGTATCCGTCAAAACAATAGGTCGCAGAATTCTATCACAAATATGAAGGTGCTTAAGAATGGTCTTTGTGTGATTAAGAGGCATGAGAAGTGGTATCATCTTCGTCAAGGCGTAGCAGGGTTGTCAACAGCAAGCACGAAGTCATTTTGAGCGACCAACGTTGATCCGGCGGTGGAGGTTGTTCTTTAAGCTTCACGCCGTGTGTTGGTTAGGTTGGTTCTGGTAGCGGGCAGGCTGCGTATGCCAGCGCGCTCCTCGCCGGCCTTTTTGCTCTGCACTGAAAATTAACACATGGCATTCATACACACATGATAGACATTCTTAAGCACCTCCAGATTTTGTGATAGAATTCTGCGACCTATTGTTTTGACGGATACTTTATCGTTTTTCAAATCACTGTGGCCACTCCAAATCTTCTCTTACACATTTTTCTTTCATGCCACAAAAACACTGCGTATCGAGCCTGGATAGATAGGAGTCGAAATCAGGGCGTTCCTGCCGCTGAGGGAAAAAATTCGTAAAATGGGACCCCTCCCTCCTTCCACCCCCCTCCGCACTCTCCATTCTACAGTTTGCTGTGGTACAACCCACTTCCAATCCCATCCTCCATCCCATAACTCTTCTGGAATTTTTTCCTCGCGGAAAAATCTCCTTTTTTCAAGAGATAGAGGATATTTAGCACCTTGCAACAGCAGAAAACAAGAAAAGTTAACAACCGGGAACATTTTCCACAAAGGCCAGTACGGGACCCACCTTGCTTGAAGCATCCGCCAGATGGAACAAACGTGGCCCTGAACTGTAAGAGACTGTCGACGAAGATTACTAGTTTGCGCATCATATTACTAAGTCACCTACATTGGAATGAAGTGAGAATGTAAACTGCAGGATGTAGAAGACGACAAGAAGGACGAAACCGACAAACAGTCCCAGCATCTGCACATATAGCCTCCGCTCCCGTTTCAAGGCCCTCAAATAGTGTGCTCAGTGTGATACATGGGGAGTGAGGCTCTTATAGACTGACCCGCTATTACTGAACCGATTTTTGATCAGAAATCTCAGTATCGTCCCATAGCACATGCTACAGAGCATGAATGTGACGAGGACGAAAGTAGCTGTCATCGATGTAGCTAGGCTTGAAACATGAAGATTTCATAAAAGATGAGAAGCATTGTCATATTTCTTACCGTTATGGACTGCCGCTCAATCAGCACCTCCATGTTTTCCGAACTTTTAAAAGTGGCATTGCTGAAGACAAGAAGTGGTACTGAATACGCTGTGGGCACTGCCCATTGGAGAATAGGAAGAATCCATCGATGTGAAGTGTTGATGATCTGAAAAGCAGTTCAACACGGAGCTTATATTCGAGGAGGTTCTAGCTTCTCACTAAAGAAAAAACAAATGCGGTTCGAACTTGTTGCCGTGTTGACAAAGTGAAATATATCGTTGAAATGAGATAACTAGAACGCCGAAACATCGTAGTATGGCTGACACATAAGTCTGGTTGTAACACCATGTCGCTATGTAATATTCCTTATAAGTCCAGAAGAGTCCGTTGCAGAGTTCTGATAAGCGGAGTGTTCCAAAAATGAAGTAGCTGACCATCAACAAAATATCCATGCAACCCTATAAATGTCATCTAATCATTAGTGCCCATCAGATTCTGGTCCCTTTTCACTGCACTTGCTCGAAGGCTTCATCATGACTGATTACCACAGCATCACTTAGTTTCAACTCAATCATTGAAAAATGGAAGTACTCGTACTTCGGCAGCGTCCACTCGGAGCATGTTTGTATACCGTCGCGGGGTCATCATGATCTTGGCATGCCAATTTGACAACAGAGTTAAAATACGGGGATGACTCGGCGGAGTCAGAAC